GAGCGCGGCGGGAGGAGGCACGGAGGCCGCTATGGTGCGCAGCGTCGGGGAATCAATCTCCCTCTTGGACTCCACCCCGTCTGATGGAATTGGACATGGTGGAGTCCAAGAGGGAGATTGATTCCCCGTCGCCGCGCGCTACAGCGGACTTCGTGCCTCCGGCCACGCTCGCTCCGCTTGCTCCCACTCTGATAACCCCCGATCCCCCTCAAGATCCACTGGCCGCGAAGTCGCCGGCTGCTTGCTCGCTGGCGCTGCTGGTTGCGGGACCCCAGCTCCGACTCTCGCTGCCGCTGGGGGTCCACCTGGACCTCCTGAGCTCCATCGAGAACCTAGTCGCCTGCCTCCATCAGGATGCCGTGGTGGTGGATGAGGTCCACGACATCGGCGACCACCTCCTTGGTAGCTGCCTTCCTCCAGAACAACGGAGACCAAACGCTCGTAGTCTACTCCACGTTCTCCGCGTCGCGGAGTACGTCCGAAAAGCTCTTTGCTCCAGGCGCGGGGGCCAGCGTCGTGACGATGGGCGTCGCCATGAAAGCTGCGAAAGCGCTGTCCCCCGCGTCGGCGGCGGCACCATCCGGCCAGATGACTCGCTCGAGATCAGGCGAGGGAGCGGCCCCCAAAGCCCCAGCCGTGCTGTAACAGGGCAGGTGCGTGCGCGGGGTGCGTGCGGACATATGACCCAACGGCACCGCCGCCGACGCGGGAGACGGCGCACTCGCAGCCTTCATGGCGACGCCCATCGTCACGACGCTGGCCCCCGCACCTTTACAAGCAGTGTTCCTTTTTGGGATATCGCCCGCGCCACGATGGGAAAACATGATCCGCTTGATGGTGTGTTCATCTCGCTCGCCTACCTCATCCATGCGTGCCTAAACCGGTGTGCTGGACATCGATCGGGGAGCTGATTATGGAAGGATGATTCATGTTGAGTTTCGGTGACTGCGTCCAGAGCCCGCAATCACCAACAGCAGCACTGGTAGCATAATTTTCGAGCTTTGTCCACATGAGCTGCTGTTTTTCCGACGGAATCCCTCGTCCCCGCCTCGTCCCCGCCTCGTCCCCTTTCTTTGATGATTATTTTTCGGCTGTCCATATGGACAGAAGCTGAACCCAGACGCCTTTTGCCAACCTAGCAAACCGAACACGACCATTTTCGCACACCCTTCTCGTTCCTGGGCGTTTGCTGCCCCTCACTCTCTGTGCCGGTCTCTTCCGGTAGCTGTCTGTCTGCCTCTCTGTCTGCCAGCCTTTCCCCAGTCCTTCCGTTTTGGTTTCTCACTATCCGTTCTACACATCTCTCTCTTTCTTTCTCTCTCTCTCTCTCTCTCTCTCTCTCTCTCTCTCTCTCTCTCTCTCTCTCTCTCT